GAGGAACAGCGAGACCAGACATGAGGTGGCAAATGCCCTGCCAGGGAAAATTGGCTCTCACAAAGGAAGGCCTGGATCTCATTCCTTGACTTGCTAACTTACTGAGACCCTACTGTGCCGGGTATAAGGAAGAAACCCAGATAGGAATGAAGCCCCAGTTCTGCAGTGGAAGAGCTCCTACTTAATGTATGTGGAGCAATGGGCAGAAATCAGTGTAATAGAGAGGAAACGGTGACTAGGCCCACACGAGGAGCACCGATACAGGTTTGTGTGTACTTAAAGGAAGAAAGATGACATCTGCTTTGGGATAACAGGGTTTAAACTGAGAACTCAAAGAAGGATCAGTGCAATTTTTTAAAAAATCTATTTTATTAAAATAGCAGAAAAATTTTACTATAAAATAAACTGGTAGGTAAGAGAAATCAAAATCCAGTGCAATCCCACCCTCAGAAATATTCAATGTTACTATTTGAATGCTTGCCTTATTTTGGTTTTGTTGTTGCACAAGTGAAACTCTACTTTAGGTAACATTTGTTTCCTACTTGTACTGTATGACATGACATTTCCCAAATGTTACTGATGTTTTAAGGTGCAATTTTATGGGGGAGTATTTCGTTGTGTAAAATGAAGCACTGAGTTTCTCCAAGCAGCCTGTGTCAGGCCCTATAAGTTGCACTGAAAAAAAATTGTTCTTTACTAATTCACGTTAGACTAATTTTTAGACAAGTGCAGCCTTGAAATAAGGGTGGGAAAAAGACTTTGACTTTGCAGAGTTTACAGAGTTGGAAGGGAGACTGATATTAATTATATAATCATAAAATAACTGTAAAACTTCCTGTGTTATGGAAGAGAAATGTGTGGGGCTAGGAAGGCATATATGAGAAGGGAGAGAAGTAGTCTTGGAGCTCTGAGCAGGCTTCTGAGTTCAGAAGGGATGGGTCTCAGCCCTACAGGAGTTAACTAAGTGATGAAGGCCAACAAGAACCTTGACAGCACGAGGGAAGAGTGTGTGCAAAGGCCCTTAAGTTGCAGGGGCCAGGGTGCAAACAACTGAAATAAGATTAAGGAGAACTGAGTGGAATGAGTTGGCCTGAGATGAGTTTGAAGGAGTAGGTGAGGCCTGACCCTACAAAGGGTGTTGGGTGAGGTTAATATTTTGGAGTGTTTCTCATAGAGCCATGGGAAACTGTTAGAGTTTTAAGCCAGGGGTGGTGCTGTGAAGACCAAATTTATTTATTTTTTCAGAAGAACTCCCTCAGTTCCTGAAAGTGAAGAGATTGAAAGGGAGCGAGGGGAGATGTGGGTAAGCCAGGGCTAAGGGGCCAGCATCCCAGGTTGGGTGAGGGGCTGATGTCAACAGTCCAGGAGAAGGTAAAAGAAGTCTGGGCAGAAGGGTGATGGGCATGGAGAGAAGTGGGTGGTTTTGAGACATTTTGAGAATAACCCAGGAATTGGCATGGATGGTAAGGGAAGATTATGAGCAGAGAATGAGTCCTCAGTCTCTACGTAACAGACTGGAGAGACATGGCCCAAGATAAAGGCATTGAAGAAGGAAAAGTTTTCGAGGGGCAGAGATGAGCTCTGCTCTGGAGAGAGAGTTGCTAGAGAGAACACTTCCAGAGGTGGAATCATCACATCCACTTTCCACAGGTGGCTTTAGCCATATCCCCAAGCCATAGTAAAGGGCCCTCATTCTGGAAATGCTAATACTGAGGAGAAAACCAGTGCTATTCCTCGATTTGATGTTCCAGTGTCTGTTTCAGGTCCCAGCACCACTTTTGCTATGTGTAAGACAAAGGGCAGATCATTTTAAGGGTCTGTGGACTTTAGTTTCCTGGTCTTTAACATGGGGGTAGTAACATTTAGTCTAAGGGTTATTGTAAGAATTAAATGACAGCATCTATATTCAAGGACTTTATATATTTTCACAAGCTCTACAAACTCAATATATTATTGTTAATCCTATTTCTATATTTGTTGTTCTTATTACCCTCAAAACTTCAAGAGTATTAATATCAGGACTATGAGACTCAATGTTTTCTCCATGAGTTCTTTAGGGGAAAAAAGGTGTGATTGAACCCTAAATAAATATACCACCCAGGAGCTAGAGATGGTGACCCAAAACTATTTATAAGCCTGTGTGTTTACCTGAATTCAGACATTCCCAACATGTAAATTATGCAGAGTCTGTGTCACAGCAGAGCACTCTGTGTTCCTAAAAAGAATTCTCCTTTTTCCCGGAATCCTTTACCTTTTAAAATAAATCTCATTATGGAGTGCTGACATTTTCAGTAAAACCATTCAACCAAAAGCTGCAGTTTTTAAAGACTAAAAACAAGTCTGGTTTATTAGGCAGCAGCTCATAATGTACTGCTAAGTAGATACGATCTATTTAGAGAAGTTTATGTAGATATCTGATAAGACATTTCAGAGTTCCCGTCCAAGACTAAGAATGTTAAGCAGGCTAGCAAGAATTCGCTCTTTCTCTCAGTGGAGTAGGAGTTGAATATCACTGTGTGTTAGAGTGGGTGAAAACCATAGAACAAAGATTTACACCAGGTCTGTTAAATTCCAGGGTGTTTCTTTACACTGTACACTAACTCTAATATCATTTCCTAGCAGAATGGCCTTGGATGTAACCTTCTTCAAAGTGTTGTGCATAGCTGCAGAGCTGATACTTAAAATATGCAATGGCTGGCACATACTAAGGCATCTATCAAAGATCTCATTCTTCTTTTTTCTCCTTCTGCTATTTTCCTCTTTCTTTCCTCTCCATTTGTGTTCTTCTGTTGCTCATGTTTCTTCCTGTTTTTCCTCCCTAAGTTCACCTTGTGTGTCTCTCTTTAGACTACTGTACTAGTCAGCATTTTGTTGCTGTGACCAAAATACTTAACACACAAAACTTAAAAGAGGAAGCATTTATTTGGCTCTTGGTTTCAGAGGTTTCAGTCCATGATCAGCTGGTTGAAAGGCAGGAATATCATGGAAGAAGGAAGGGTGTGGTGGAACACAGCTGCTCACTTCATGGCAGCCAGGAAGCAGAGCACAGAGGCAATCTCCGGGGAGAGATATGTCTTCCAAAGACATGGTATCAGTGACCCATAGCCAACAGGGCCCTACCTTCTCACACCACATTCAGCTGTGAACATCCACTGATGAGTATAGCACCTCCATGATCCAATCACCACTTGAGGGTCTCTTAATTCAGTTAAGTTGACAGTTCAGTGTAACCTGCACAACTACACAGAAGAGCGGAGTATAACTGAGTTACCCAAAGTCATTTAGTGACCTAAATACAATGACCAATTTTAGAGCCCTAAAAATAATTTCCCTTAGTCATCTCCTCAAATTTATGAGGTAAATACTAGCATTGTCTCCATTTCACAAATAAATAATCTAAACCATAGAAAGTTAAAAAGTCCAATCTTGCAGAGTTAGTAAACGACAGAGCAGGGAGTTCCCACCCACTCTGTTACACCACTCTAGATCTTCCAAAGTGATTATAATTGGCATTTATTTATTCACTCGGCTGATATTTATTTAGTACTGGTTGTTGGACAGAAACTGGATAGAAAGAATAGCCCTGTTGATGCAATCTCTTCCCTATGGAACTGCCACAGGTGCATACACACTCTTACACACGGTGTAGACTCTCAGCTCATACTTACTGGGTTGCCCCACCCTCTGTGGTGAAGTGTGCCCTGGAGCTGGGCAGTGCTTGATGTGCTGTCTAAACATTTTATATATCATTCTTTCCTGCAGACAGTGATAAATGTATGGCACAAAGGAGGAAGCATCAGGATGCTCTTAGAAGTATTATGAGGGGCTAACTTTATAGAGGAGTATAAGAAACCCTTTTTGAATGAGGCAACTGAGCCACAACTTGAACACTGAGTTTTCTCAGCATGCTGTGAAATGACCCAGTGCACAAGCCAAACCACACACAGACCTGTAGTTTGTGTTGAAGACCTTGGGCTTGAACTTAAGTCAAGGAGGTGCTGTTTAATAGAGTGAACAGGGGAGGAATACCATTCTGCTTTTATTTTAAGCAGTACATGGAGGTGACTGTATGGACAATGGTTGGGAGCAGGGTGCCCACACAATTCACACTTTAGATTGATTCTGCGTGGTGAGAATTCAGGCATGAACTGCTCACAAATTAACCTTTTCAGTTTTTTGGTAAAACCATGTACTGAAACAATTCTAACGAACCACAAATTGCTATACCCTAAAGGCTACAGTAGAAAGCAAAAATACTGTGCATCAGGGAATTATAAAATAGGCTCAGCTACTTTCAATCAAAAACCATTGTTCTTATTCCTTCTTGTTTTCACTCAGAGGAATTCTTAACTCTCAGTCAAAATTTTCTACGCGTATCCTGAAAGGCTCTCGCTCCTGAAGCAAAGCAAATCAGTAAACACTTATCTAATGTTTATTCTGACTCTGTGTTGGGAGAACCCCACTTGTCTTGTTTGCTTCAGTTCCCACCAGGTGGTTATGGTAGATGAGCAGTACACAGTGCTGGCCTGCATTTAAACCTCCTTTTTATTCACAGTTAGCAATGCAGCCTTTGGAGATTAGCATAAGGTAGTGTGTAGTGAGTAAATTTTGAAGTATAGTACAGATTGAGTTAGAACAAAGATGTTTTCGGTATCCTTGGAAGAAGATGTGCTCCACGAAGGTGTCTGTTTGGCAAAGGGATATTGAGAAGTGTAAAGCAGTTGAATGTCAATGTGCTGCAAACCTGGTATGCCTCTAATGGATTTCATCATGCTAATCTTCTCTGAGCTCTGGGATGCTAAAATATTTGCTTGTCATTTTGCACATTCCCTTCTCTCTTCATGGGGACAGACTGAGGGATGGGTAATATTAGGTATCTCTCACTTTCTTTCTTCTCAGATATTGAACCTCACTCTCATCTGTGTTAGATGTTTCAATGAATGCCTATCTTTAACTTGAAAAGTCTATTCCATTAACTTTCTCCTCCTTGCTGCCTACAGGATAGACCACTGGAACAATGAGAAGGAGAAAATTGTGCTGCTCACAGAGAAGACTCTGTTCATCTGCAAATATGACTTCATCATGCTCAGCTGTGTACAGCTGCAGCAGATTCTCCTGAGTGCTGTCTATCGTGTCTGCCTGGGCAGCTTTGTCTTCCCCAGGATGTCACTGGACAAGTGAGTACTATGTCAGCAGGGGCACGGCAGACTGGAAGTCAATAACAACGTCAGTTCAGAATTTTAAGCTGGAAGGATTCACAGAAACGGGCAAGTTCTATGATTGAACTTAGGAAACTTTTGAGTTTCTACTCTGTGTCAGGCACCAAAGATACAACTTGAAGCAAATTTGTGCTTCAATACCTGAAACTGGCAAGAAATAGCTAAATGTAAGGTGGGAAGAGGTGTGAGAGCAAGAAGAAAAGCTCTTGACACAATTCATGTGGCACATAGGTAGAGAAGTTTTCCCCAAGTACCAGTTGAGCCAATATTTGTTGTTGGGTAAGAGGTACCATGGAAGAAGAAAAAAATTAAGTAACATTGCAAGCAAAAGGAACAGTACATCAAAAGAGTGGAGGAGGGACAACATGTAGTCCTTTTGGGACATCAATTTATTCTGTAAAACCAACTGGATAGAACTCAAGATGGCCATTTAATTGCTGTATAAGTCTCTTTAGACTGTGCCTGGAGGCTTAGTTGGAGCGAAGATTCACTGTCTTAGAGACCATAACAGTTAACTAGGGACTGGGTGGGATCCACAGATGAGGATTAAAGAATTGAGTGTTCCTGTTATGGCCTTAGAAAGAACTCCATTTCCTAAATATTTTAGATCTAAGCCATAAGGATAACCATGTTCCTCTAAGACTGAAGGTGAGCTCTTCTCATGCACTTCCAGGCTGCTTAAGGACAGGCGCCATATTTGTTGTTCTTTAAAGTACCTAGCATTGTGTCTGGTGCATAGTAAATTTTGAAAAATCTTTTTTTTTAAATATATATATTTATTGGTACATTTTGGGTATAAAATACATTTACATTTATCATTGGGTGTTTGTACCAGAACATGAGGCATCTTAGTTTTTATTTTTTCTCCCATTACCTCTGCACCCTTCACCCCCTCCACCCTTCCCTAGCTACACAGTTTGATTCCATTTTTTTTTCCTCATAATTTTTCTCTTTCCCTTCTTCCCTTTCCCCTTTCCCTTCTACCATCCCCAAACCCTTGGACCTTTTCTTCTTTCAAATTATCATTTATTGATTGTAATCATTTTCATCCTTATTTACACTTTCAATTTCTTTGAGAAATCTTTTTAAGACACAGAAAAGAATCTTTTTTTTTTTTTGGACCAGGGATCGAACTTGGGTCCTTGTGCTTGCGCAACAGGCGGCGGAACCACTAAACTAAATCCCCGGACCCTAGAAAAAATCTTTTTAAGATACAGTTTGATGAAGTAATTGAGTTTCCTTATATGAAGATTACCATAATAAAGACCTATTTTTTATTTACTGTTTCATGTATACAAGAAGTGATTAACTCATTTAGTTCACTAACTTTTAAAACTGGTAGATTTTTTCAATAATGCATACACATTGTAAAAACATATTTATTCATTACAAAAATTGTTTAGGACCTTTCTTTACTACTTTAGATCTTCAGCCCAGTATTCTGTTGAGAGAGGAAAGCAGTATCTTGTCCATATTTGAAGAAATGGTCTATAAATTGTAATGAATTAAAATATACACACTACCTCAATTTTTGTATACTCTTAAAAATGTGTATCTTTACACACATACTTGTTGCATATTGTCTGACCCAATAGGAGCATATGTCATAAAGTGTCCTATTTCATGCTGTATATCCAGTGATAAACCTTGGAGATGTATTACATATTCATCTATAGGTCAATCTTAATCTTTAATAGTGCAGAATGTTTTAAGACTAATCTATTTATCTGGCCTTTCTTTGATGGATATTTATTTTTAACTTTACTCTTGCTTTTTTTTTCTTGTTTTAATTTGGATCACTAGAATTTTAAGGATTTTGAGTATGTTTTTCTAAATTTAGAAAGTCATTTTATTTATTTTTTTGTACAAAATGCCTTTTTTGACCGTATTTTCTTGTTTTCTCTTGAGACATTAAATTTTTGTCTTATTGATTTGTAAAAACTATTTATGTATAAAAAAACTCTTCCTCTTTTCTGCCATATATTTTGCAAATATTTTTCCCATTTGTTATGTCTCATAACTTTATAATGCTATTTTTATTTTTAAGTATTTTTATTTTATATTTTAATCATAATGCCTTTAATATTTAAGTGTTAAATATATCAGTATTTCAAGGCTTGTAAATTTATGACTTGTTGAGAAAGGCTTTCTCTGCACGGCAATTATAAAATCAATTTCCAAGTTTTCTTTTGATCTTATAATTTTATATTTAAATATAGTTAAATTTATACTTCATCTCACATTTGCTTGTGTAAAAAAGAAATACAATCAGTTTTTATTTTACCCAGATGGTAGTCTAGGGTTTTCAGCATCATTTATTCAATATTCCATTTTCTGACATTGATTTGAAGTGCATCTGCATCATATATTTTTTCTTTGTGCATTTGTGTCTTTCTAGATTCTTCATTCCATTCCTTTTATCTGTTTATTAATGGACAAAATGGCTTTAACTATTCTAACCATATATTACATTTTGCTATCTGATAGTCACTTCTTATCTATTAATCTCCTTCTAATTTAAATTCTTATGTACATTTAATTTTTCATCAGCTTGCTTTTTTAAAAATCACATTTGGGGCTATGTAGGATAATTAAGTCAGTGATAGAGTGTTTATCTAGCACATGTGAGGGTCTCAGTTTAATTTCCACCAACAAAAAAATATATAGTTTTTAAAAGATTTTTCAAATACAAAATTAAGCTTTCATTACCACAACAAACCCATTTCATCGTGACATTTTATTCTTCTTATTTACTGTCGGGTTTCATTTGTTATTTTTTTTGAGGATTTTTGTGTTTTTGCTTGTGAGAGCTATCAATTTGTTATTTTTATTCTTTTGTAATGTCTTTACCAGGTTTTGATATTTGGATTATACCGCTATCATAAAACAATTTGGGAAGTGTTCTTTCATTTATTTTCTAAAACAATTTAAAAAATTATGAGCAATGTAATCCCTTTCTGGACCATTTAAAGAAGTTTACAAGAGAAATCTGGACCTGGGCGATACTTGGTGGGATAGTTTTTTGCTTGTTTGGGTTTTTGGTTTTTTTTTTTTTTTTTTTTTGGTACCGGGCATTGAACTTGGGACCTTGCACTCGCAAGGCAGGCGGTGGAACCACTGAGCTAAATCCCCTGCCCTTGCTTGTTTGTTTTCAAATAATGAATTAATTTGCTTTACAACACTTGGCTTAGTGAATAGTTTTTCTTGATTTTGCTTTAATTTTAGTAAATTATATCTTTCAAAAAATTTGTTAAATTTATTTAACTTGTAGTTGAAGACAGTTTATTAATAATGTTCCATTATGGCCTCTTTAATGCTGTTAAGACATTTAGTAAACTTGTTAAGACACTTGGTAATATCTTCTTTGTTTCCTAGAAAAGGTGATTTGTGTCTTCTTTCTCTCTGTCTCTGTCTCCAGTTTTAGCAAGAACATGTTTTATCATTTGGATAATTATCAGTATTGTTTGTCTGATTTTTATTTAGTTGATTTCTGCTTTTTATTATTTGGTTTCTTCTGTTTACTTTGGGTTTACTTTTTACTTTTTTTAGCTGTTTAAGGTTGAAACCAAAGTTATTAATTATAGATATTTCTGATTTCCTAATATGAGCATTTAGAGCTATAAATTTCCTTTAAAACCCTGATTTTGCTGCAGCACTTAGATTTGATATTCTGTTATGAGACTATTTTTTAATTTTTCTTGATTTCTCTCAACCATAAATACTATTTTTTTTAAATTAAATACTTTTATTGGTACATTGTAGGTATACAACACAATCACATTTCTCATTGGGAATTGTACCTTTACATAATACATCTTGGTTCTTATTTCTTCCCCATTCTTAGCCCTCCCTTCACGCCCTCCACCCTTCCCTATTTACAAAGACTTTATTTCCATTTTTTCCATTTC